GAGTGAGGGGCAGCAGCAGGGCTGGGGGGGCTGTGGCTTGGGAGTAAGGAGCACACACACAGATGCAGTGCCCAGCAGGTAAGTCTGGAGGGAAGAGGTGTGTGGGGGCAGATCCAGGCCCCTATGGTGAGGGAGGGACTGGGGCAGGGGCTGGGGTGAATGGGGCTCCAGGGCCAGGGCAGGTTGTGGGACAGAGCCACGGGCAGCTAGTCTAAGAGCAGGGTGGGGGGTGTGGCTCCCTGCTGCTGCATGCTCCCCTGGGGAAGGCATGGGGGGCATGTGCCCCCCAGATCTGTGCACAGGGAGGAGGTGGGCTGCCCAATGCAGGCTGCAGCTGCCTTTGCCCCGGGAACTGCGTCATGCCATAGTTTCTAGGTTTCATAGTTTCTAGGGTCAGAAGAGACCTGAGTAGATCATCTAGTCTGACCCCCATTATAACTCCCACTGCCAGGCAGGCAGGGGACACAGTAGGGCCTCCACCTGAGCCCGCAGCAGGCAGCCCGCCCCGTCTCCCCTAACTCTTAGATCACTCCCTTGCCACTCCAGTTGCCCATCTGTCCCTCAGCCTATCTATCAGCTCCTCTGCCTCCAGACCACTGCTCTGCTGCCCTGATCAGCCTGAGTGGCAGAGGTGCCAGTAGGAGGTTCCTCCTCCCTGCTTGCTCCTGGGGACTCTGCAGACCACACTGCCCCAGTACACCCAGATCCAGCCCTTGCCAGTCCCTGCAACTGAAGGGGAGGCAGTGCGAAGTGGGGAGGGCAAGGAGATGCAGAGCCCAGTGGGGCTAGATCCAGGTATGTGGGGGCAGCACAGGCTGCAGGGAACTTAGAAGCAGTCAGGGAGGGGGACTTTTTCTCCCTGCCACTCCTGCTCTTGGGCTGATTGGGGTGGCAGTGCAACGATTCAGGGGTAAGGGGTGGTGATCAGGGGATGGAGGGAGCGGTGATCTGGGGTGGATTGCAGGATGGAGTGGGGATACGGGGGCTGATAGAAGGGCCATAGGGTGCTTTAGGAGTACAGAGGGTGATCCAAGCAGCACTGTGGTCCTTCCCTCCTGGCTCCTTAATCTATACTATGGCTAGAGAGCCAGCGAGCAGGGCAGGCATGGAGCAGACTTGCGCCTCTAGCTATGTCCCTGCTCATCAGCCCTCTAGCAGCATGTCTGAGCAGTGCACATTACAGAGGATATAAACCCTGAACATATGACTGATCACTAGTGCTAGTTAACCTTAATGCAGACTAACATTCCTTGAAATTAGCACTTGCCCACAAGATCACTTAACACATGCTAAACTGCTTAAACCTATGTCTGCTCACGTTTTAATTGCATTTAGCGTTAAGTTGAACATCTGACACCGCCCGTAGATGCAGAGAATCATAAAATACAAGTGTTACTTGATTTAAGGTGAGATTACTCAAGTACTTGAATTTAAACCTGTACATTAAATGTTGGCAGGAACAGGGCCATAGTTTATAATCACATTATTAACACAAAATGCCATTAAATCAAATTATTATAAGGAAAATTAATTTTATGACCTTCAGCAATGTTAATACCATATTTACCTGAATCTAAGATGACTCCCCAATAATTAGAGTCCACACATGGAAAATTTATATACTTGTTATAATATTCCATGTAATTATTGGAGGGTGATCTTAAATTTGTTTCCCTCATCCCCACTCCCACCCCCAGTACAGTGGGGAATGCAGTGGGAGGGGGACAGGCAGTGGAAGACTCAAGATCCCCCACACCTTGCCCTGCTCCCTGTTCCCCCAGCACCTGCTCCCCATGCTGCCTGCCCCTCCACTGCCACCACCACCTGACCTCCCCCTGGTGCCTGCCCTCCTGCCTGGTTCCCTCTGCTGTCTGACCCACCACCTCTACCCCTCTACTGCTTCTGTATTCCCACCTTGCAGCCTCTGCCCCTCTACCTATCCCCTACCCACCCCAGCTGTTGTTCCTGGCTCCAGCGCAACTCCAGCTCCACTCCAATGTGCAGTGCAGGGCATGTATTTACTCCAGCCCCATCATGGCCCAGTAGCAGCAGCTGTGCAGAGCTGCTGCTACTGCATCTAATGGGGAAAAATGGGGGTGGGGGGCTCATCTCAGATTTGAGTAAACATAAATGATAATTTTCAGCAAGATAAAAGGTTATAGACTCAGTCAGTTACAGAGCAATAAAAATACTAATCTTTGTTATATCTTAGTGGATTCCTGTATTGTGAGTACAACTGTTACCATCAGGAAACTTATCATTTTGGTTTTTAAAAACTTATTACCTAAAGATTACTTTCCATTACATTTATGCCTTGCTTTTAAGTGTTCCGGGTCAAAAGGCTTACCTTAGTTGGCACAAACTGCTTAATAAACTTGATCCCATGTTCTTCCATGTGTTCTCCAATTTTGTTTGCCATTTCCTGGTCAAATCCTCTTAAAAGAATGGATCGCACCATTACAGTTACATCTAAACCAATCCCCGCAAGAAATCCAGCACATTCAAGGGCAACATAGGAAGCTCCAACTACCAGGGTTTTTCCTGGACAGTGAGGCAGGGAGAACAGATCGTCACTGAAAAGTATAAAATAAAATAAATTAGGGACAACCAGAGACTATCTAAAACTATTCTTTATATTTGACGGCTATCTTTTGTATAGCAGGAACGAGAATGCATGCTGCACGCAAGTGGAATCAAAGCATTAAACTGAACATGGAATACTCTTATTTTGCCCAATATATAAAAATTTTTATGAATTTTTACACTGAAGTACAAGAAGCTACCCAAATCTTAGATCCCCCTTTTCTCTGAATGTCTTTCCTAATGGTGTTGCAGTGAGTTAACTACTTGGAAGTATTGATTTACAAGGAAAAAGGCTCAGACATAGATAGATATACCATCTGGACAGTTTTGGAAGGTTTTATTTTAGCTAAAGCATTATACAGAATATTTACAAACAAAAAACAAAGAAAAGAATATAATAAATTAATCCAAACCACAGCTGTAAGTGAAGCTGGTGGTATAATCTATGCTTAAGTTTCTTGCTGTCTAGACTCAAGCTTTTCATTTCACTTTTCAATGCTTCCAACTATAAGACTGTATTCAGCTGCTTATGACCATGCTAAACTTGAATCATTTATGATGACCCTTTCTCTGGAAAAAAAAGGCAGCAAGCAGTTCAGGCATTTTAAAGTAGGGACAACTCTTTTGTTTGGGCAATGCTTGTTTTCCTGCAATTGTTTTCTGGGGAACCTGTAGCAGATCACTCTGCTTTGCAGCAACAGCTTGCAATTCAGTAAGGCAACCAGGTGCTGGTATACTTGTTCAGTAAAGATATGCTAAAGTATGGCAGCTATAGCCTCCAAAGATTTTATCTATCATAAGCATGCTCCAAGTGCAGACTGAAAAGAGCAAGCAAGGCTTTCCCCGAAAATGCTGCTGTGCAGAAAATATCATAGGATTACATAAATAAAGTTTGCATTACGGTTCATGTGCGTAATTAAGCAGATTAAGCCTGTACAGGCAAACTCAGTCCTGGCATTCCTTAACTCTAGAGTGCTTGACTTGGCAACCTGAGCTTTCTGAATGCAGTGTCATATATGTATTGATTGTGTTCAATTTCACACCTTCCTTAGGAGAATAGTGTGAAATCTGACAGTTTGGTTTCTGTGCATATTTTATTTGGTGTTGATTTACATATTCTTGCACACCCACAATTTTTGCTTTCATTTCCATGTTCCAAAGGACCTAAATGACAAACTGTACAGAAACCATCACTATTTCACTCGCTTGTGTGTTCAAATCATGCAACAACACAAGTTTGACATGGTTTTAAACAGAAATGATAAATTCTGCTCAAGCTTTTCCAAAAGGATTATGAAATTTACAGAACTTTTGTGAGTTGTAACAAAACTTGAAGGCAGGTCATATTCATTTAACTTCACAACAAAAGCTTTAATATTTAACACTTTTTTGCTTAACATTCTGCACTTTGCTAAACAAGATGCAGTGAGCCAAAAGACTGCTCAGGAACTTGGGTTTTTCTTGGCCTGGGTGCCTATGTTTCCTCACAGCATTAAGTATGCTTCAGGGTGAATAAATTTCTTCACTTGTACTGACATACACATTGGGAATGAGGAAGGAAATGGATATGACAGGGTTGGAGAGAGGGTTGATGAATTAATGCAAATATTAATCATGGACAATTTTTATGGCATTATCCACCCCTGATCCTGTCATCCACAAGTAACAGTACTGCATGATCTCATGGAAAATCTCAGGGCTAAATGTTCAGTCTTTTGATTTAGGCTGGAGACACTGCTCTTATTGGCCTGCTCTTCTGCCAAGCCCACTCTCCTTCACTTTTCTGGCCCACAAGTCCCATTTCCAATATCTCTACTGCTTCTCCAGTGCTGTTCTCTTGCAGCTGGCAAAACTAAAACACTTTTTTTTAAAGCGTGCATGGTGAATTATTCAGCATCCCCCCCTATTTTACCTGCTAATGCAGTATTCCTTGTCTCCAGGGATATTCAGATAGCGTGGCCTTTCACCAGTGGCAATAATAAATTTCTCTGCTGTATACAGTTTCTCTTTCCCTTTTGTATTTGTTGCCTATAAGTAGTAACAGGCTGCAGTCAGTCTTTCATGCCCATACCAACAAGAAAACTGCTCTGTGGAAGAGCATCTTTGTTTAACAAGAGTAAAGAACAGATAGACAATTACTATTCAGTACCTTAATAGTGTGTGGCCCAACAAACTCTCCATATGCATTCTCATACGTGACCTTGTTGTCTCTCAAAGCAACTCTATAACCCCAGTTTAGTGACCCAATATAATTCTGAACAGCTTCTGTCATAGTCTCCCAGCTGTGTTTGACTGTTGAAAAAACAAAAAGGAGATGTCCAGCTTTTAATGTTTCTCTATCGTTTTCTTCAGCCTTCTTTGTATTCCAGACAGGATTCTCGCATGACAGTCACTGTACAGGGCCTCAATCTCCACTGTGTTACTTTTGTTTCACCCAAATGCTACACCACTAAAACCTAGAGTTACTCTAGCACAGCACAGAACTACATCAGTTGGCAGCCTGGATCCAGACTGCAAGGCTTCTCATGGACTGGATGACCCATCTCTGGATTCAGTCCTTAGGGCTTCTTGCCACAGCTTCCCGATCTGCTGTGGCTGTGAGGCCAACATGTGTGTATTAACAACATGAAGTTCACCACCTACCCATCAATTTGAATGCTGAACGGCCATCAAAAATTGGAAATTCAGCAATGGGTGAGTGGGGGGGAGACAGTAAGGGGAGGGAAGATGCATTAACCCCCTCAGTGCTGGCTGTGCCAGCACAGTGGTCTGGGAGCTGTTGAGAAGCACTGCAGACTAAACCTGGAGGCAAGTCATCTGGTCAAAAGGAAGCCCCACTGGCCAGATGACCCACCTCAAGCTGGATGTTTGACACCCCTGGACTATGGGCATCTTTGCATGTTCTCTGAGGTGGGGGCGGGGGGCACTGATAAACAAGACTCTCTGGGGGCTTTAATTAGAGAGGCTCTCAGATAATCTCTAATTATAGCATGTCCCCTCACTCCTGGAGCATGTGTATAAATGTCCCTTGGTTGCAACTGTAAAGAAGTCCCATTTCTAGTACAGCACATTCTGGGTGCCCTACATATTGCTCAACATGTACTCAAAGTCTTGCAACTTTGTTGCAACAGAGCACTGCATTATATTAAATGGTTGAAATAATTCCTAAACTAATAAAACAGGGATCTGACAATGCAAGGAGCTGATCACGCTTGGCCTTGATCTGTGAAACACTGAAGCACGTGTGCCCACTCCACTGAGATCGGCCACGCACCCCCTGGAAACGCCAGCCACGAAACCACTGGGGGACACCCCCTCTGGTTGGCAATCAGCTGCTGGGGACCCCCACATCAGCGATCTGGTGGCCCCCCCCCCAACTCGGAAGGCACCAGTCACCCATGGCCCAATCTCAGAAGTCAATGGTACGATTTGTTTTCTTAAAAGTGCACACAAGCTTAAAAGCTCTGGCGAAGAGGCATTAGAGTGCTTTCCAATACAAAAATTAAAACAGCCATGATTTTCAGTTCCATACCTTCTTCTGTAAACTGCCATCCAAATTTGCGGGAATCTTTTAAGGCTTGTCCTAGCAAAGCTGCCTGGTGCATCAGTTTTTTAGGTATACAACCCACATTTACACATGTTCCTCCAAGACCTTGGGGGAGGAGAGAAAGGAGACATAATACATATTATGTATTAATGAACACTATTCCAAAATAGAATTGCAAAGCCATGTAATAAGAAATGCCTCTTTACAAGATGTCTGTAATAAGCAGAAAATTACCCCATGAAGTTCCCAGGGGAGTAGGAGTCACATAGTCCAGCACCATCACTTTCTTATCATACTTGACAGCCTCCTGGAGAACAAATTAAACAAGACAAGTGTCCAAATATTAGAAGCTATACATGTATGAGATGTCAGCACTGTATCATACTGAAAACCTGTGTAAATTTTAATTCAATAACAATGGCTGAACTGCAAGGCCGTGGCCAGACAGTCATTAATCTTTAAGATTAATCTGTGTGCTTAGTGGAAAAGAGGGGAAAAAACAAGCATTCATCTTGATAGTTTCATTTGGTATATAGAAAGTCTTGCTAGAGAACTGATGCTCTGCTTTACATTTTATAATCTGCTTCAGCTACTCACTTGAAATCCATCTAACAATGCTTTTATCTGGTTTTCACTTCAAAAATATTTCCAGACTGATTTGATCCAACAGAAAAGCTCACAAGGCCAAATGCTGCCTTCAATTACTCCTATAAGCATCTTCCCATTCTCACTGAGATTGTATGAAAAATGTAAGTAATTTAGTCTATGCTTTTAATCCATGTATTTCATACTAATGAAATGTTTACAAGCTGACTTGACTAAAAGGCTATCCAGCTATCTTATTAGAAATGCACATCACTTAACTGCATAAAAGTTTGCCAAGAACAAGTTTCATCAGCTATCCATAGATGAAAATGTAAAAGTAAATGGAATTTTTCTGTTTGTTTCATTATTGCATTTCTGTCTTTTAATGGAAGTACACAAAATGTGATTTTCTAGGAAATTACAAAGAGCTGAGGAACGTGGTGTGAAGGTACAATGACAAAAGGGAATAATGTAAGATAATTTGACATTCTGAATAACCACAACTGGCTCATGTGCTATTAACTTGTTATTACATGGTGGGTTCTCAAAATAGTTAAGCAATAATGACAGAGGTATGGGATATGTCCTCAGGACGCACAACTGTTTTGGAAAACATCAGTAGCCTGGGTGCACAGTAAAGAAACAATAACTAAAATTGTGTTTTATGCTTAAAGCAAAGGACAAATTCCTTATTTCATACAGAAATATGTACTGAAATGCATAGTAATTAAAATAATTATTCCTTTATAGTAACCTTCTTGAAAGATCTCAAAGTGTTTTACAAACATTGGCTAGCTAAATATAATAACGTAGCTGTGAAGTTTATTTTACAAGATAAACAGAATCACAAAGAGGAAAAGTAACATGAATAGGTCTGGTCTGTACACAAAGTTTTGCCAAACTAATAGAGTGCATTTCTAATGCAATTAAACTAATACAAATCTGTGTCTAGACACCTTTATTGTTGTTAAAGAAATGTATAATCTATTTAGCTTAATTTGCTAACAGAAAAGATTAAGTCTAACCAACATAACCCAGCCTTTCTATAAACAAAAGTTACACTGGTTTAACTGAACTGATTTAGAAACAGACTTTTTATTATCACTGACAAAATTCTATGCTGAGACTGGGGCCTCCTAGGATCTAGGGCTGTGTGAAGCTTCAGTTGCTGGTTCGATTTAGAGGAGATTTGGCCTGATTCAGCAGCCAAATCTCTGAATCCGAATTGAATCAGGAGACCCATTAATCTCTCTGAATCGAATCGGAAGCCTCAGCGAGATTCAATGATTCAGCCATAGACACAGCTTTATATGTTTTTCCTACGTACCTCGAGGTGCCAGGTGCAGCCCTGAATGATGAGATGGTGGGGCAGATGGAGTGTCCCACGGAAGCACAGGAGGGGGTCCCTCACACACTTGGCGGCGGACCCAAAAGTGGACCAGAATTACTTCCAGGTCCACCAAGGAGCATGCAGGGAATCCTCCAACCCCCAGCTTGCCAACTGGTGCCTCCTGGGTCTGGAGGGGCACCCGGGGTCCCTCCGTGGCCGATCGCCAAGCTGGGATACATGGGTGACCCCCCCTGCACTCCCATGGGACGCTCCATCTGCCCCACCATCTCAGCGTTCATGAGCCACACCTGGTACCTCGAGGTACACAGAAAAAACATATAAAGCTGTGCCTGTGGCCAAATCACTGATTCTCCAAATCAGAATTGAATCTTAAGATTTGGCCAAATTGAATACGGACAGCGATCCGAATCAGCAAATCGAATCACTGTCCCCCAAAATTGGGCCAAATCCAAATCCAATACTGCCTGCTTCACACACCTCTACTAGGGACCTACTTAAGCAGCAGTAAGATGAGAATTTTTCACAGCCTAGTCATGGCACAAAGAGCCTATTTTGCAAACTGAGTATGTCCCTATATATATAACCACTATAGGAACGCTATATTCAAACTAACTACAGAACAAAGAAATATATATTTTATTAAGTATATCTGTAAATAGATCTAATTTGGTTTATAAACCACAAAGTAATTCTCACTGCTTTCACATTTATTTTCCTCAACTCATCATGTTGGTCCCAAACTTGAGCAAAGGCATAGTAAACATTATTACCATAACCTCTTGCACACAAAGCAAAAGTTAACTTATGTTTTTTAATTGTACTGCTGCAGGCTGTCATTGTTCATTCTGTCCTGTCATTCTCTCTCTTTTTAAATTAATGACCATTTGCTTCTACTGCTTCTCCCAACTTCTATATCTCACTTTATCCCTTTTACCCAGAGAAGTATAATAGTGTCTGTTAAGGAGAAGAATCATAGGCTTATTACTCATTACAATTAAGTGTCTAGCTGAATTGTCATTAATTTCATGACAAAAGTTCCTTGGCCCTCACTGAAAGCAGGGTTGGTTGATTTCAGCAATATGCTTGAATACCCTTCTCAGGATTTGATTTTATTCATTAGCCACTTATTTTAGTTGTGACCCACACCTTTACAGGGACAAAGAAATTCTTGCTGTCCAAAGCCCTCAGATTCATTGCGGTTATAGGTATTGCATAGTAAAATGGTTATCTATTCATAGACACGTGTAGTTCACTTCTAAAAAGACGCCTTCTTAAAGCATGAAAAGGAAAAACATTCCTGATTATTGATATAAAGGTGAACCACTTACTTAAGTTAAACACATTTTAAACATTTGGGGGGGTTAACGATTAGAAAAGATTAGAGATAGAGTAGATTGAGTATATAGGGACACATTCAATTTGCAAAATACGTTCTATGTGCCATAACCAAATGTGGTAAATACTCCATCATTTTCCTCCTCCATACTCTTCCGGAGGACTGGAAGAAGGCCAACGTGGTTCCCATCTTCAAAAAGGGGAGGAAAGAGGACCCAGGCAACTACAGGCCAGTCAGCCTTACCTCGATCCTGGGCAAGCTGTTCGAGAAAATTATTCTGACACGCATCCAGGAGGGGCCAGCAGGGAACGGCATGCTCAGGGGCAACCAGCACGGGTTCATCAGCGGCAGGTCCTGTCAGACCAACCTGGTGGCCTTTTACGACCAGGTCACTAAATCATTGGATGCAGGGGTGGCAGTGGATATAGTTTTCCTAGACTTCAGGAAGGCTTTTGATACTGTCTCTCAC